GGGGGGGGGGGACCCAGAACGGCCTTGGGTATGATTGACCAGAGCCAGCCCTGACTTCTTCCCTTGAACTTCTCTCACCGTCACTCTTCTTCCCAAAGCAGGGCTTCTTTGCTGGGATCAGGAAGAGGAGGAAGCCGAGGAAAACAGAGACCGTGGCATCTGTGCGGTAGCCCTTCCTAGCAAAGAGACAAGCAGGGCTGGAGGCGGAGGGTCAGGAGGGGGCACGATGTCTCAGGACAGTCTGTCTGAACACAGTGCCTCTTTTTAGGACCCAGTCTGGCGGGTGGTCAGCCTTCCTTCCTGCAGCTTCTGCCATGCTATCCAGCGGTGGATTTAGCGGGCAAGGGTTGAAGTCTGGAGGCTGGGCCTGGCTACGGTAGACATCTTAGTGTGGCTCTATGGGCCCCTTAGAAGGAGAGATCAGGAGTTACTTCGGTAAGGGGGACTCGAAAAGGATGAGTTCTCTTTCCTGCGAGGGTCACACCTCCGTGTGTGTCTTTGCTCAATTGCGAAGCCGAGCTGAGAGATCTGTGGCCCGGCCTTCAGGGGTCCTGCAGGGGCGGCCGGGGGGCCTCTGCCTGCCAAGTCCCCAGCCACCCCCTCAGGCTCTCACAGGGGCATTTGATCTCTATGCCTCAGCCTCAGAGCCACCTGCGAGACAGCTGAGGTTTCAAGAGCTTAAGTACAAGACCAAGGTCACAAGGCTGGTCCAGGGCAGCACCAGATGCCAACCCCAGACCCGACGCCACACACTGTATTTTCTTCCTGACTCCGCATGGGTTTCCCTGAGAAGGGGGCACTTCCAGGGGGACGGAGTGCTTTCTGGGCTCACGGCTGCCCCTACGAGGAGTCGAGGAGGGACGCTGGTGGGAACTGTCTGAAGGGTCTGCGTCAGGGGCTTACTCTTAAGGAGGAGACAGTACCACTTACTTTTCAAAGAAAGAATCCCAGCCAGGAACAAAGCCAGGCTCCCGGGTAAACCACAGCACGGTCATCAGGATGAAGAAAAATCCAGTTACCATTTCAGGGTAGCTGTAAGATACAACAGGAAAAGCCGCTCCAGGAGCTGGGAGGTTTCTCTTCGCTCTTTCCCTTCGCATGGGGTGCACCTGTGTTCAGAGCCCCCATCCCGGGGACAAAACTGGCTGCCCCACCACTCCGAGCCACTGAGGAGAAGTGGGAAGAGGACTGAGAAGCTGCCAGAAAACGTGACGTCACCCACGTCTCCTGGAGAAGCTAGGTGGGAAGGGGTGAGGTGGTACAGCAGCATATGTTTATACAACGCAGAGCACGGCCTCCAAGGAGAATGCTGGAGGGGGGGCGAGGGGAGGAGCGGGGTCCTTTTGGGAGGGAATTTGATGATGTATGTCAGGAGCCTTAAATTCAGTCCTTCCTTTCATGTAAGGAAATAACCAGAAATGCACAGTGATATGTTATCTATCTAAAAATTGAACATTCAAAGTGGAAACAATCTACACATTCAATGATATTCCATGACATCAAATACATTTTGGTATAACTACAGGTTCGAATGAGACGCACCTAACAATCGTGTTTGCACTGCAGAGCTAATGGCCTGGGAATATAATGACAGTCTAAAGCTAAGTGAAAAAAAGACAAGATCTAAAACTGTGTTCAGTTGGGACTGAATTTTAGCAAAAATACATACAATTTTGCACCAAAAAGAAGGATGGAAGGAAGAGTACATTATGGTAACAGTTGTTAACAGTTAACACCGAATAAATAGAAGTCAATTTTAGTTTTTTTCTTTATATTTTCCTGTATTTTCTAAATGTTCTACAGTGAATGGGTATTCCTTTTATAAATTAAAACATTTTAAAATACTGCTTATACCAGGATCCTTTTGCCCAAAGCTGTACCTGCCTGTTGCCCTAAAATGAGAAAAATGGCACCAACTAGGACATGGGGTCACTGGGGAAAGCTGATAATGGCTGATGGGGGTGGCGAATCCTCGGGCCCTCTGTCTTCAAGCCTGTATTTGAGAATGCCTGATGCCCCCCAGTTCCCCAGGAGTGGCCATAGGACTGGCGGTGGCCCAGTCAGAGCAGTGTGGGGAACTGGGCCTGTCCCAAGAGGGTGGCTGTGCTGTCTCTCTCTTCTTTCCATCTGGAGGCCCCGTCTGCGCCATCCACCCCCACACCGCGGCTCTACCTTGGACTTGGAAAACGGCAAAGGGGAAGGGTGGCCACCTGGAATCTGGGCCCGCTCGACTCGGGCAGTCAGTAGTATCTCTAAAGGCCTGGATTCATAGTTGTGGAAAATTCCCCAGCTCAAGGGGCTGTGGTTGTTGAACAAGGCTGCTTGTGGGCTCACTTCACCTGCCATGTTTTCTCTCCTGGAGAAGGAAAGAGGGTGAATGGCTGATTTTTACCTAATGGCTCCCAGCTTTTCATATTCCTCTTGGATTCTCTTCTCTGACACCTCTTCCCTTTTGGTCTTCTTCTTCTTGCTCAGAGAGCAGGTTTCTCTAAAACTGAGAAGGAAGAACGAGAAGAATAAAGGAAACATGCTTCTGAGGCCCACAGGAGTCAAGGATTAGCAAATGCTAAACTGCTGGCTTGCTGTGGTCACTTGTCCCCTCTTCTCTCCAACCCCAGCTCTCCTACGACTTTTATCTGCCAGGTTACACAGCCTGCCCTCAGCCTCTCCCCTAGGCTTCCGGGTATATCCATTTGGGTACATCTCTGGTGTACTGACGTGAAGTATCATGTCTTAACAGACTTGTGCGAGTGTATTTATGTGGGGTATTTTCTACATACTGGAGGTATAGAAATATACAGCTATCATTGATTTGATAGTAACCTCTGAGTTATTTAAAAAAAAAAAAAAAAAGCCGCTCAGAGAACATCCCTGAGCAATGGGAGTCTTGGGTCTCATGGACCAATAGCAAAACATCATATATATCTTCCCTTTATGTGTTTGAGGCTGATTGAAATATAGTTATGAAGAAAGGCTTGCTAAGCAGATTAATATCAGGAATAATATTGCAAGAAGAATATCTAACTTATGAATGAGAGGTACATGAATATTTCATGCAACTACTATATATGAATCGCTCATGTCTATAAAATTAAGCCTAAGGAAACTTCTACTTGGAGTCACATTTCTTTAAAAGTTAGTTCAAATTACTCTGTATGCTTTGAGAGAAACGAAACTACATTAACCACCCTCCCATTCAGACTTTTTATAAATCTGACGGTTCCTTTAACCAGTGAGTTGGAATTAAGAACATTCCATTGCAGAGCTCATAGTGAAGTGCTGAGGCCATGTATGTTTAGAGTGTCTAGAACAGGGGATGCCTGACTCCCTGTCTAGTCCAGTGTCTTCTCCTCGCACATCCTCTGTGGTTACTCAGCAGCTCCCCCTTGGGTGGTGCTCCCCAGGGCTCCCGCCATGACTCTGGATGGACAGGAGAGCCTCGGTACCTCGCCGGCAGGGCCCTGAGACTCACTTGCAGCCAAGGAACAGCCAGTGCATCCAGAACCAGCTGACCACCAGCATGATGAGGGAGATGGGGAAGCTGAAGAGGAACCAGGTGCCGAAGTTGACCACCTCTGCAGCGGGGTACTGGCTGGAAGGGAAAGAACCAGGTCAGTGATAAGAAAAGGATGGATTCCCATGTGGTTTCTGGGGGTGATAAGCCAAATGCTCCCTAAGAAGAAATGCATCAGAGCTAAGGGTAACGACGTGGTAACACATTATCTAGAACTCACGTATTTGACAGTTGCAACTGCACAGGGCCCAGCCAAGCATTATGAAGTAAGCTAAAAAGGGCACCTAAGCAACCACACTTGATATCACTTAAGTATGCATACTTTGCACTCAGGAGAACCAATCGGGAGCTGTTTTGATCTTAATTTATGTAGAGATTCTTGTAAGTTTACTCATCTGGTTTTCAGGACAACAGAGAATGGAAAGGGCAGTCTGGTATACTTGGTTTATAAAGTTCCTGAAGGAATGTGAGCTTTGAGGGATGCAAAGCACCGATTCCGGACCAAGTTTGGACTCTAGAACATCATCAAGTTTCCAGGTATTAACTGTGCCCCTAGGAGAACCATGACTTGGAATCTCCAAATCCTTCATCAACATCCACTGCTGCCCTAGGGTCTCAGGGAGGTTACCCAGAGGACTCTTCACTCATCAGGAAGAGCTGTGCCCCACCCAGCCCAGGTGTTATTTCCTGGGGAGCCGGGATGGCCACATGTGAGCCATGACTTTAACCTAGACAACACCTGTGTTCCTTTCCTCTTGGGCTCTTCTCCCACCCCTAAGGTGGGAAGAGACTGCCTCTCTTTTCACACTAGGCACTGCGTGGAAAAAGAGAAAGACCAAGAGCAGAATCCCCCCCACCCCGCCCCCAGAGAGGATGCAGTGGAAACACAGGATGTAAGAGTGCTTCATCTTCTCTCTCATCACAGAGACATCTGCTTTTTTGCACTGTGGCCTGGTCAGGGACTTACCTTTACCATCCATGTGCTTCTTGGGAAATTGTGACAGCTTGTGCCTCCCCTAAGGGCCAGAGTGGGTCACTGAGAGTGGGGGGTGGTGGTGGAAAGAAGGGCTTTTGGAGCTAGAAGGATACCAGGGGGTATAAGTCATTGAGTGACTCACTCTGGCCTGTAGGGGCTAACAGGCATAAAGTCTGTTGCATCATCTCTTCCCTGTACATAGAGATCTAGGCCCTGTTCCTTGACCCAGGAAAGGGAATGGGCTTTTAGAATAGGTTAAATAGACTTTTGTGGATACAGAGGAGGGCCTATTCCCATCTATAGCACTTTAGAAAGTGTAACAACTAATCTGTAGGTTTTTGAAACACAGCCAGAATGAACTCTGGGGGTGGTCTGTTCACCAGTGCCAAGAAAAACAGCATGGTGGCACTTTCAGACCAGTGGAGATCCAGGGAGCTCACCAAATTGCTCTTGCCTAGGTCACCAGTAACCTCCACGTCACTGAATCGAATGGACACATTTCTGTCCTTTTGCTTAGTTATTCAGCCACTTTAAACAGTATGGCCCACTCCATCCTCCTTGAACACTTTCTTCTCTTGGATAGAATGACACCAGATTTTTCTCTTCCCTGTGTGATACCTATTGTTCTCTCATTTACAGTCTACTTTAAATATTCGAGCTTAATATGGCCCCTGCTCTACTTACCTTATATGTTCTTCCTGAGTGATCGATCTTCTTCACTCTCCTGGCTTCAATTTCCATATGCATCCCACCAGGACCCACTAACATCTAATTTGTGCGTCCCAGTACAAAATGCAAATGTCGGGCCGCTTGTTAAAAAATGATTAAGAATTTTCAGATGGTGAGGGCAAAACCTCAAGCTAAGTGTGGGGCCCTTCTGAGCATGGTGGTCTGGTGTGATCATACAGGTTGTGTGCTCATGAAGACAGCTCTGGAGGCCACTGATTCTAAATCTATGCCTTTAGCCTAGAAATTTCTCTTGAGATTCAGAGCTGTGTATCCATCTGGCCATCTCAACCTCCATGTCAACATTTCCTTATTTTTCTGCTCTTGTAGGTCAAGGGCAACTCTGTTCCCCCAGCTGCGGAGGCCGTGAGTCTGACAGTCAGACTTGGCCTTTCCCTCTCTCAGGCCTTTTCTAATCCTGCCAAGGCTGGTCAAGCCTACCTCTGCCTATCTCTCAGATCTGACCATTTCTCCTCACTACTGCCTGGGTCAGCAGGCCACCACCAGCTCTCTCCTGGGCATCTGCAGTGGTATCCAAAGTTGTCCTCCTGCTGAAAATAGGCATACCTTCTCTTTTCCATTTTTTCAGTCCAGAATCAGTTTTTCAAAACTATAAATCTGATCACCTCACTCCCTGCCTAAAATTCTTCAAAGGCTTCTCATGGCATTTTGGATGAAGTCCAAGGTCCTTCCTGGGCTCAAGAAGCCCTTTGTGATCTGCATGTCCACCTCCCTGGCCTCCCTTTGCCCTCTACCTTTCTCTCTTATGTGCTCTGCTCTCTTGCCTCTGAGTCCTCCCACTCACTGTTGTCTTGGTCTGGAAAACCTCCCTTCATCCAGTGTATGCCCGCTGTGCATCCGGTCTTGTTCCCTAGTTGTGTCCTTGGGGAGGCATGTCCTCCCCGTGACTGGGCGGCCCCTGTGGGCTCTCTCAGCAGAACCCCGCCCTTCTCCAGTCACACTGAACTGTCACGCTCCATCGTCTCTTTTCCCTCTTGGTATGGAAACTGCTCTAGTTTCTTTTTCTGCCCTATCCTTAGCACCTAGTTCTGCTCCTGACACGGAGTGCGTGGTTAGTGGGTATCTGTCGACCAGGTGAGTTACTTACTTGTTGAAGTGTTCTAAGAAAATCAAGCTGGTGGACGTGCCAATGATGGTGGTCAGGCCCCCAATGGTAGCGGCGTAAGATATGCTCAGAGAGAGGCACTTGCAGATCATCTGGTCATGCTGGGACTTGTACTTTCTGTTGAGCTCCTGGTTCCTGGGGCCAGGGATCAGGACTAGCGGCTTTTCCTATCAGAGAAAAACCAGTGCATCTTTCCAACCCAGTGTGGGCTGTCCAGCACACAAAGCATGGAGACAGGGGCACCATGGTGCCGTGGAAAGGTTTTATGCTTGGGTGTCAGAAAGACAAATCCCAATCCTCGTTCTACCATTCAGCAACTTGGGCAGCCCCTCTGAGCTGCATATTCTTCTGCAAAATGAAGAAAGTCCCATTTTCTCCACCAGATTGCTGTGAAGAGTCATTGAAGTAATATATGTAAAGCACTTAGAACAACACTTCCTGGCATTTAACGAATGGTAAGCTGTTATTACTTTTGTTGTTAGTCACAGCATGTTCTGTTTCACTTGAACTCTAGCAAAACTGGTTGCTCTCCGCTTTGCATGTGAATGACACATGGAAGGTGGTGGTTCTCTCTGGAGCTGGAGTGACAGTCCTGACCGGGAGGTGACTGAGAAAGAAGCCTTGGGTTGCAGAGGGAATCCAGTGTGGGATTCTCTCCTCACTCTTTTCTGCCTCTTGCCTCTTGGTTTTGCCTCCCCACTCTCCCCCTCCCCTTGCATATAAGGCTAGCCTTCGGTGCTCCTCTCAGGCCCTGCTTGGCCCAGATGGTGGCCTTTCAGAGTCAGAGGTTGCTGACCCCTGGCCTCCAGTGTAGATAAAGAAGCAAGTGGGGCACCTGGGTGGCTCAGTCAGTTAAGCGTCTGACTCTTGTGGCAGATCAGGTCGTGATCTCAGGGTCGTGGGATCAAGCCCTGTGTCAGGCTCCCAGCTCAGCGTGGAGCCTGATTAAGACTCTCCCTCTCCCTTTGCCTCCCCCCACTCCCCCCACTGCGCGCTCTTTCTCTCTCTCTCAAATAAATAAATAAATCTTGAAAAAGAAAAGAAGCAGCAGCAAGTACCCTCTGCCCCTCTAGGCCTATTCTCCCCCCACTGAGTCTTTATGAGACCAGGAGCCACCTGGGGCAAACATCAGCAGGCCAGATCCTGGGAAACCCACGGGGAAGAGGCTACCTTGCCTCCCTCTCAAAGTTTACATAGTGCCCCACCTTTAGGAGGGCCCAAGTCAGTCTGGACCCTTGCAAGCCTTCCTGAGAGATTCATTATCAGAGCTGTAAGGGACCTCATAGATTCTCTGGTCCAGTGGTTTTCCACGATCCTTTCTTCTAACGAAAATTTTCATGGACCTCCAATATTTAAAACGTAACGTAGCATTTAATCAGCATACGTCTGTTTTATAACTGAAAGTAGATACGTGTGGCCAGAGAGACTTGGATTTGAATCAAGATGCTCCTCTCCCTGCTTACTGGCTCTGAGGCCTTGGGCCACATGATGTCATCTCTTTGCCTCATCTGCAGAAATAGAGTTCAAGACTGCTACGTCCCTGAGCAAAGACTAGGGAGAAAATGCTCAGCACACTGTGCTTGGTATACAATCAGTGTTTCAGAAATGGTGGCATTTATTTATGCTGATGATGAATGTTAAATATTTGAGATTATTTGGATGGACACAAAAATTTGAAATCAAGGGCTATAACTGATAGCCGCAATTTTAGGCCAACTTAAAGGTCTATTTTGTTTCAGTGGTATAGCAAGTAGCAGGAAAAATACTCATTCACACACAAAAAGCAATTTGCTTACAATCTCAGAATACTCCAATACAATACTTGCATTGTCCCCAAAGCACCTTTGAGGAAAAAATTTGAACACCTCTGATCTAGTCCAACCCCCAGCTTTTATAGCTGAAGAAAAAAACAGGGGCTCAGATGGTAGAATGACTTGCCAAAATCAACAGTGAGTTAGATGTTTTATCCCCATGGCATACGCAGGTCAGACTTGTCTGTGGATGGACTGCCTGGTGACGGCATACTAGCCTGATGCCCTCCTAACTTCAAGACCAGTGCCCCTTGGGAAGCTAAAGGCATTTCATGTAGGAAACAGGGTCAGGGGGTAAGTTCCATTACCTGGGACCGGTGCTCCTTCTTGCCCTGGGGATTTGCTGTTTTGACCGGGTTGGTGATTCTGGGCACACCATTCACGTTCTGTGGGGACAAAGACCGTCCCACTGTCAGGAAGAGGATGTGGCAGGCCTCAAGAGGGGCCGCGTAATCGCCCACGGCATCCCACGCCTCAGCACTGTGGCCATCGGAGACCAGAAGCCAGGGAGAGCATGCAGTGGGGAAACACCCCACTGTGCCTCCAAGACACAGAGTCCCATCCAGCGGGTGCAAAGCAGCCCATTTGCAGAGACTTTTGAAACTTGGCAGAACATGGCTCTGTCCTTGTAGGACAGCTTGGCTTTCTGGAATTTCATTAGCTAATGAAGAATCCTTCATTTTTCTTTAACACAAAGAAAATGGAAAAAAAACACCAAAACCTCACCACAACAAAGTCCACAGTTTGGTGATCAAAATTTGGGCTGATATAAGGAGATGTGAAACCAGTTCTGGGGGAAGAGGTGAGGCCATAAACTCTGCTTTCCTCTATAAATGTGACCCTTTTGGGGTGCCTGGGTGGCACGGTCAGTTAAGCATCGACTCTTGGTTTCAGCTCAGGTCATGATCACATGGATCGTGGAATCGATCCCCACATCAGGCTCTGCACTCAGCAGGGAGTCTGCTTGAAGATTCTCTCCCTCTGCTCCTCCCCCCACCCACACAAGTGCATGCTCTCTTTCTCTAAAATAAATAAATAAATAAATAAATCTTTAAATGTGACTCTTTTTATAATATAGTTTTTGTATGGAATCCCCACTACAAGGAATCCTGAGAGTGAATCTGTGACTCTTGGAAATCTGGATGACTGAGTATTGGGCTTCCACGGGAAAGGCTAGCCTGTACTTTATGAGGCTAAGCCCTCTCAGGGCCAGGGTTCAGAGCTGCAGGCCCTCGCCCGGAGCCCGTGCAACCTTTCTCACGTCAGGGCTCGTGTGAGCACCTCTGTGTTTTCACATCAGTGGCTGCCACTGGCTCTAGGCTCTAGGACTTCTCTGTCCCTGAGTTATCTTGAGGGACTTCCAAGTAATCTTAAAGCACAGAAAAAACCCAAGGCCTTACCTTGTTCTGCATCAGAGAGGTGAAGTCTGCAGTCGACGTGCTGGAACAAAGCAAAGGACATGAGAAAACAACAGTGGATCCGACTTCATGAGATGGGAATGCCCCACCCCCCCATTGGTGTTTGGTGTAAGTGACCCCTCTAGGGTCCAGTTTCCTAGGCTACAAAGACGACTAATCTCACCTGAGGCTTCCCGGCCTTCCAGAGATGCTGTCAGGATTTGTGGGGACACAGCATTTCCTTAGAAGCAGTGCTGACACTCCTAATAACTAACATGGAGTGCTTTTTAGGGGCCAAGCACTTAAATATGGACTTTAGTCCTCACAACATTGTTATCCTTGTAACAGATGGATGGCGCCGGTATTCCTACCTGTATGTACAGAGTAGACAGTGGGCCCAGAGAGGAGCCCTGACCACATTCTCACCGGCTGACTCGGTGAAGGTCACTGTCTAGAAGGAGAACCTTGTGAAATGCTTCTCTGAGGTTGCAGGAGTAGGGAGAGTCTGGGCTGCACATGGAGAAAGGCAGATGAGAGCAAGAGGATGGGGGTGAGGGGAAGGTGGGAACTGAACTGTAGCTTACTGGCTACGCTCAGTGCTAAATGCATGCTTCGATTTGTCTTAGTTCTGAGCTCACTGTAAAGACAGGTGTTGGACACGTGTGCAGGCCTGGAGTCCCATGGCCGATAGCCATGTCCAGGCTACCCCAGGGGAGGGTAAGGGATTGATGGGGGTTCGGAGGGAAGTGTTTGGAGAGGGTCGTTAGCCTGGAAGGAGTAGAGTGGTATGATGTTTCCCCTCCCTCCTTCCCAAATCAGGTGAGAAGGGCAGGCCTGGAGCCCCTCAGACAGCATGGGAGGTGCCAGCCACCCCAGAAGACGGCCATCCTCCCCGGCAAATGGCCAGGCTCCCACCAGCACTCTGCTGAGGGAGTTCGAGGGACAACTTGAGCTTCTGCTTCAGAGTTTGGGGACATATATATAGGTCTGGAGAAGAACAAAGGCAGGGCATAATGTGGAGTCTTATGGTGGGTGATGCACATGGAAGGTGGCAGGGCCAGAGCCGTCTTGAAGAGGCCCTACCCAAGAGGCCAACGCAACCCCCAGAACGAAGAGGCTCTGGGGGAGTGAGGCAGCAGAGCACAGAACCGAGGGGTGGGGGTGAGTGGTCATCCGGGAGCTCCTCACCACCGCCATCAGGCCTGGCGCTCTGCAGAGGGCGCCTCAAGGGGACACTCCAGAGATGCTGAATGTGGGCCCCCGGCAAGTGGGAGAGCGAGGGATTCTCAGAGAGGGGAGGATGACTGGAGGGGTCAGAGGCAGCAGAGGGAGGGGTGGGAGCCCTGAGGCTGGGAGGAGGAAGGGTGAAAGAGGAGTCTGTCCCCACGCACTCTGACCTCTGACCCTGCAGGCCCGGGGGACAGGAGGCAGGAGGCACTGTGGCTGAGAGACGGAAGTTTCGGAGTCTGGACCAGACTGCTGACTACCTGCAAAGGAGCTCATTCTGTTCTAACACCTTAAAGAACCAGAGAGCAGTGAAGTTTGCCTGAGATCTTGTCCAGGGCCGTGGAGGGGAATCGGACAGCTGTGACTGAAGGCAGCAGTGCGGGGGAGAGCAAAGCTTGTCCCCACCTTTCTATGTTCTCCCCTCACACATGCTGGTTGCACTCAGGGCAGCTCTCGTTGCCCAAGAAGACACCAAACTGCAAAACTCAGCTCTGCTGCACATCCAACCTTTAAAGGCAACATTCATCACAGTATCCCTTGAAGACCACATTTTGATACAGAATTTCTGGAAGAAATGAGCTATTAATGGATCTGTCTCACATGAATGCTTGGGGGCGTATTTCTCCTTTTTTAGCTTCTCCCCACCCTCATGCGACTCTCTCATCAACTGTCCTCGAATCCACTGCCTATCACCTCATCCTTCCTTGTCATATCTGACAAGGCCAAATCTAGTAAGACCATATCTAGTATCTAGAAGATACTCTGTGATTCTCTGAGAATCTCCAGTGACATTTATTATGTTTTTCCATTAACTAAATGTAGTATTCTTCTACTTCAGTTCTACTTGGTAGATGTGTGGACAATCAGATTCAGTCAGTCTTTCTGTCTCTTCCCTCATGGCTGCCACTCCCTGTGGTTGAGGGAGTTGCCCTCAGGCTCTTGGCAGGTGGTTCCCAGGTATGGAGAGGATATTAGGGCAGAGGGAGGTGGTGGTGCAGCAGGACGTGAGCCGGGCCCATACATCTAAAAGAGCTGTTCAGGTACCCACTTTCCTGACCTCTGGAATAGACCTGACAAGGCTCCGTCTGGGAGGAGGGCAGTCATACTCACTCTTCATTGACAAAGATGAGTTCCAGAGAGGGTTGGCTGTTGTTTACATCAAGACCTACAGGAGCAAAGGAAAGCAGACATGAGATGTGGAGGCTGGAGCTGACCGTGCAGGGCAGGGGCTCAGGGCTGGGGCTGAACGGGGAAAACGAGGGCAGATCCTGCTGGAGGCAGGCGTGACCACTGCCCTTCCCTCCGCTCTGAAAGCATGGTGGGGCTTGCGGACACAGGCAGGCCCAGGGTGTTGCCAGAACCCTCGAGTGTTTGGGGGAAAGGAGCAGAGGTGGCTGCTGTGAGCAGGGGAGGAAGGAAGAGCCAGGAACGTGGGGTCACAAGGGAGCTTCAGGTTCCAAGGGCTGGCCTGGGATTGAGGGGAGGGGAGGGGCACAGGTGAGGGCTCTGGGGGCGGCCCTGAGCTGGGCGGTGTCCCAAGAGGAGGGTCCAGGGGCGAAGGGGAGGTGAACTCCAGCAAACAGTACTGATGGGCTCGGCCTCTTCGGCGCTGGAGTTGCCAGCCACGAGCTGCTCGTCCTCGGCACTGACCAGCTCCTGCAGCACGGCCTCCACGATGGGCATCACCATGGCGGTGGTGGACGTGTTGGAGAGCCACATGGAGAGCAGCGTGGTGCAGCACATGAAGCAGAGCAGGAGCCTGGAAAGCAGGGCGGGCGGGTGCGGTGTCCACAGCATGGCCACTCCCCAGGGTGGCCCCCTGCTGCCCTCGCGGGGCTCCTTTGGGGCCTCCTATGAACCTGACGGAGCTGGCCTAGAGAAGGGGCCGGGGGGAGGGGGAGGCGCTGGCATGTATCCAGAAGGTCAGGGTTTTATGTCATGCATTCAGCTCTGTACTCCTAGGGCTTGGCACCGAGTAAACACTAAATTCATATTTGTTGAATGAATAAATCACACTTCCTGGGCTGATGGCCTCAGTGAGCAAAAAGCCCTTCCTTAAGCAAAGACGAGCTTTGGTAGTAGGGTCGCCGGGCCTGGACTTTTACTCATTGCTCGGCTCTGCAGACATTCGCTTGGTAATGAGGTGTGCTTTTGGTGCATAAAGGAATTCTTTTTTCTGCCCTGCAAACAGCAGTTCTTCGGGGACCATTACAGTCTTTGCTCTGCAGCTACGTCACCGTAGTTACTAGTGACCAGAGACTAACGTATGGAGTTCACGGTTCTGCCCACCACTTGCCCAGCTGCCCACTTGCTGAAAGGATAGCTCCCCCCGCCCCACCCGGCCACACAAGTGCCCCATGTCACTGTGCGCACTTCTTCAGCTGGTATCTTGAAAAGTCAGCCCTCGGAGGAAAGCACTCACAAAAATAACCCTCAAGTTATTTCTCTTTGACTTTGGAGACATACAATGCGTGTTGGAACAGACGTGGTTCTCGCTTCCGTAAGACAAAGCCAACATAAAGACCACCCACGTTTCTTACTTGAGGTGGGATCCCTGATGTCGTGCAATGTGGGGACACCTGTCGTGTGGATTAGGTTGGGCAGGCCGAAGTCCTGGTGGAGTTTTTCTGTTTAGGCTGAGAGCCACAGAAGTTTGCCTGCCCGGGACCCCCACCAACAGCAGACAGACAGAGAGCCCCGCAGGCGGTGGAAACATGCTCGGGGAGGAGGTAAATGAAGAAGAGTGGAAATGCAATGGGAGCAGCATTCTTGAGTTTGAGTTGAATACACAGAGGTTTTAAAGAGCTGCGGAGTCCCAGCGTGATGTGTAGATGCCATTGTGTGCCTAGGAGGCTGAGTGTGGGGTACAAGGCTATTAGTGAGGGGGCAAATGACACCAAATTAAGCTATAGTTAAGTGGGAGACGGGAATCTCCTTTGAGGCCTAAGCTGTGTATTCATCTAAATGACTAATGTTGAAAACTGATACCATATTATTTATTTATAAGCCATTGGACTCTCAAAGGAGTCAGGGCCACTTACATAAAATGTCACGAGAAAGCTGTAAATAGGAGGTAAATATTCCGAAGGAAAGAGAAGGGTAGGGTTATTCGATGCAGCAGAGGTGAGGTTAACACAAAACTCATTCCCGACTTTCCTGCACATTCCCCAAGGTTGGGAATGTCTGCCCTGGCCTTCCCCCCAGCAGACAGAGACCAGGACGCGGCTGAGGGCCTGGAGGGCATCTCCGACACCAGGTCAGGGTCAACTTGTCTGAGCTGCAGTCTGAACCAGGGACAACAAAAACTCAGGGTGGATGGGAGGAAACCTCCACGTCTCCTTAAATGGCAAAGGAGAAGACACCCATTTCCCTGTCCAGCCCGTTCCCTGTTACGCTGGAAAAAAGGTTGAGAAACAATTTACGTTGGTCCTTCTCGTTTTACTCAATGGGCCCCTTGTATTTTGTAACCTGCTGCCCGCGAAGTCTATGTGGCTCCGATAAATTATTGAGACTGTGAAAATAAAGGACACCAACGTCACACACGCACATCTCTCTTCCACGATCGAGGGCCCTCTCGCCGGAGGGAGCTGTGGGAGCCCAGCAGGCCTGATGTCGTTCCATCCCCATTAGTAGAAAAACACCCTGACCTGGCCGTTCACGCGGGGGCCCAGGACCCCTGTCCAGGTGGCCCCCTGGCAGCTGGGGGCCGCACGGTGGCTGGGCACCTCAAGGGCTACTTACATGCCCGGCTTGGCTCCGGCCATCATGACCATGCGCAGAGCAATGCGCTTATGCAGGTTCCACTTCTCCACGGCAGCCGCCACGCAGATGACGCCCACCAGCAGCAGCGTGGTGTTCTTGAAGTACTCGGCGGCCACCTGCGGGAAGGCAGCGGGTCAGCCCCTCCCCCGCCGCGGCCCAGCGCATGCGCCCCGCACAACGCGTGCTCAACGGGGCCTGGCGAGCGGGAAGCGGGGAGGTGCGGGCTGTTGACCCAGCCGACTGCTTGACATTGTGTATTTATAGATATAATACACACGCACATATATAATATATATATACGTTCCTACTACCTTGGGCAGGCACAGATCTAAGCACTTTACAGAGATGATTTCATTTAATCTGGCCAGCAACCCAATAAGGTAAATATTCTTCTTCATGCTTAAAAAAAAGATTGATTGATTGATTTATAAAAATATTAAAGCACCCTGTTTTTAATTACGATATCATTTCAAAGAATAAATATATAATTTTATCTTAATCCTTAAAAATTATTAAAATAACTCTGGGGGCGCCTGGGTGGCTTAGTTGGTTAAGCCTCTGCCTTCGGCTCAGGTCATGATCTCAGGGTCCTGGGATCGGCCTGGGTGGCAGGCTCCCTGCTCAGTGGGGTAGTCTGCTTCTCCCTCTCCCTCTGCCTCTCCCCCCAGCTTGGGCTCTCTCTCTCAAATGAATAAATTTTTTTAAAAAAGCATAAAATAACTCTGGGCTTATCCCCAAATCTCATTTTTTCTTTTTTAGCTTTTTAGAAAATTATGTTAATTTTTAAAATTAGAAAATTAATGCATGCTCATTATGGAAAACGTCAAGATACAGAAAAATTTAAGGTGAAATTACCCTTAATCCTGCTACTGTTATTACTTCGATATATTTCCAATTTATGTCTATATAGATACATAATTGGATTTACATACTATGCTGTTTTATATTCTGCTCCCCTCCCCACTTACATCATACCCCGATCATTTTCTTATTTGACTTAAATTTGTTGGAAAAAAATCATGTTAATAGAAGCATAATGTGCCACAGAATTTGGCCATTTTCCTTTTATTGCATATTTAGGTTAATTCCTTTTTTTTAAAACTACAAATGGAACAAAGAATCTGCTTAAATCATTCACCTTATATAAATGTGATTATTTCCTCAGGTTAGAGTTCTCCAGGGTATCTTTATAGCTTGCCTTAAATCTTTAAAAATTTTTAAAAATTTAAAAAACTCCAAATAATTCCAAAGTTGCAAAGAGTTCCAAAGTGATAATTACATAAGGAATGCCCATACGTTGTCTACATTTTTTTTCCCCTGAGCCATTTGAGGGTAAGACACGTACGTGTTAGCCTTTTCCCCTAAATACTTCAGTGTCCGTTTCCTAAGAAGAGGGGTTTTTCTCCTCCACAACCAAATACTAGTAATTAACTTCTCCCTGCCCCTTAATGACGAGGAAATTAAGACTGGGGCCTGTTAAGATGCTTCATGTGTCTATGGTCCACAGGTCAACCCTTCACTGATTTCCTCACTTGGAACGTTCTCTTCTCTGTTTACAATCGGATTTCAAAGCCCAGTTCAGGCCTTCCTTGTGAGAGAAGAAAACTTTCCCTGTGACTCTGGCCTCTGACTCCAGAATGGAGTGTGGACACCATTAATTCCACCCATCGCAGAGCAGGCAGGACGATGCTTGAATTTTCGCTTCATGCTGTCTGTCTTTTTCTGTGTACCTCTCTCATCTCTTGACTGAATTTCAGGCTGCAAAAAGGCCAAGGATCATGTTTCTTTGTAAATCTCTTAACCCCTAGCACCAAGATGCAAAAGTAGATACTCAGTAAATATTTATCACATACAGAATTGTTCCCAACAAGGGAACCATGACAGAAATTGAGAGGAAGAGATACAGAGAAGTTTAATTTCTAATTGAGAAACCCTCTTTAAAGTGGGAAAACAAGAACATTTCTCATTGCAGGAAAAATGAAAATTGCAGGAAAAATGAAAACTGCAGGAAACGTAAATACAGTAAAATATGTGGTGTTGGAAAGAAACAAAATTTACATAATCATACTGTTAAACTTTGATTATTGAATTAACCAAAACCGTGGTGTACCTGTAATACTGGGAGGACTGGAGGCAGGAAAAGGGGGTGGGTTTAAGAGGACAAAATCCTCATCTGCTGTCATTGGAAATCAACTGATAATGTCTACAAGTGATGACTCAAGAATTAATATAAGAATATCAAATAAGAGGGGCACCTGGCTGGCTCAGTAGGTAGAGCATGCAACTCTTGATCTTGGGGTTGTGAGTCTCGGCCCCACATTGGGTATAAAGATTAAAAATAAAATCTTAGGGGCAGCTGGGTGGCTCAGTTGTTAAGTGTCTGCCTTCGGCTCAGGTCATGGTCCCAGGGTCCTGGGATTGAGTCCCACACCGGGCTCCCTACTCGGTGGGGAGCCTGCTTCTCCCTCCCCCACTCCCCCTGCTTATGTTCCCTCTCTGACTGTGTCTCTCTGTCAAATAAATAAATAAAATCTTAAAAAAAAAAATCTTAAAACAAATATCAAATAAAAA